ATTATTATTACTGAACACAATTCTTAAAATATTATCACTAAGCACTGTTGGCAGACTGATATGTTTTGAACTCTAAACTCATAAGTAAAAAATACTATTTAGCTTCAGTTAATACAGTCAGTCTTCATTAATCCTGGATCTGTATTTGCAAATTTGCCTTTTCACTAGAATTTATTTGTAACCCCCAAATCCATACTCATGGTGCTTTCACAGTCATTCAGAGACATGATTAAAACTGTACAAAATTTGAATTGCCCTTTGAGCATGTTCCCAGGAGAGGTTGAACAAGGTGATGCCTTGTTTTCCCCCATCTTTGGCTCTCACACAGAGCTGAACAGGGGGCTGGGGTGCAGAGAGGTAGTGCAGTGTAGTGCTAGAAACTCTAGCTCTACGTCAGTTGGAGGGGGTTTGAGTCCCAACTTTGGCTCCTCAGACAAGTCACTTAGCATATCAGAACCTTGTTTTTTCTTTTTGTAAAATAGAATAGAATATACTAAAATAAATTATTTTTAGGATTAAGATTATAATTTATAACTATATTAATTTAAATATGTATATATAGGTGTATATTTGACTGTGTGTGTGTGTGTGTGTGTGAGCCTGTGTGTACATTTCTCTAGGGACAATGGATCTGTGTTCCCTCATTCAGTGTTTGCAATGACTTTATAGAACACAACTATGGTGAGTGATGTCAATCAATTGTATTGGCCAGGCTCTACGTAGCTCAGTGATAAGCATGCAGTAAATCCAGATCAGCTGAGATTTATCTTTGCCTGCACTGTTTAAAGGATTTTCACATAGATTTTTATGATGGATATAAAGATGTTATTTAAAAAATACAACATCACCAAGTCCTTGCCCTTGGATAAGAAACTCAGTGGAGGGGGAGGGGTGGTGAGTTGAGTTCAGCAAAAAACAAAAACAAAACAAGGTAGAAAATAAACAGGTGATAGTAAAAAGACAACACATAAAAACTATGTAAAGTTAGAAGGCAGAGACTTCCCGCCGGGTCCCACCTCCCCCACTCCTCATGTATTTATTGAACACAGGTCATACTCCAAACAGCGTTAGTGCCATTTTTTATGCTATTTATTCCTTTACAATATTGTAGCTCTGTAGAAGCAAAGACTGGATTGTGCTTGTCTTTAAAGTTTCATAACATTTAGCACAGTAGCCTGTACTTTGCAGCCACCTAGCAAATGTTTGTTGATTGAATGAAAAGATTGATGAATGTGGCCCACCCACTGTGATTATCTAATATCTCAGACAGTTCTCTGTACTCTCTTTATAGTCACCTTTTTAGTCTGGGTCGCTTAGGAATAAACTAGCTGATAGACAAGTTATTTTGATGAATTAATGCAAGTGAGACAATATATTCCCATTTATGTCTTTTTAAGTGTTATTTATTTTTTATTTTATTTCTCCCAGAGCAGTAACACATGCTTTAATCCAAAGAGAGAAATAATAGAGGAATTTGTGAGCTAGGACTTCCACTAACTTCAAAGTCACATGAAGTTAGTCCTGTGTTGATTAATAGGATCATCTACTTGCCTGGTTTGCTGAGTAAGACTTTTCCGACCTCATTATTTTAATGTATTTATTATAAAATATTTCAAACATACAGGAAAATACAGAGAATTCCATAACAAAGAGGGGTGTGTGTGTGTGTGTTATTACCCAACAGTATTAAATGCAAAGATATGTAAAACTTAATTAATTGCTGGTTTTTAAGGCTTCACAACAGTTTATCCATCTTAGGTTTCAATTAATTAATTAATTGTGTGAATTAATTAATTATTAGCTAGAACTAATTTCATTCTCTTTCTTTCTTACCCAGAGATGACAAATGTCTTGTTAATACATATTTATGTATCTGTGTTTAATATATTTGGTATTGTTTTAATATTTAAAACTTTATTTAATAATATTTTACTGCACCTAGTCTGCAACTTTGTTAAAAGAATTTTGGTATTTATCTATGTTGATATATTTAGGTTGAGATCCCTTATTTTCACTGAAGTACGGAATTCCAATCTGTGAATATATCATAATTCATTTATCAGTGTCTATTAGTGGACATTTAGGCTGTTATGTAGTAGAGATTTTTTTTTTTTTTTGGTCATCCATTATTTTAACATAAACAGCCAATCTCTGCATTCAATGTAAAGTTGAAAAAGTAAAAAAAAAAAAAAACAATAAAAATATAAACTTTCATTGAGAACAGGCAGATCATTTAAAATTTCTCTGTTTCTATAAAATTGTCAGAGTATTTATGTAGACTATCTTCTAAAGGAACTTAAAATACTCTTACAATTCAATTTTAAATGTACTAGGACCATTTTTTAAAGTGTTAATTGTAGAGTGAAAGACTCTATCACGTGCAATGATCAAGAGGATGGCCTTTAAATCAGATGTCACTGGGCTCCTGGATCTGCTGTTGATCAGCTAATCAGCTGAGAGACCTTGGTCAAGGTATTTAACCTCTTTAACTCTCCATTCCTCACGAGTAAAAAGGGTATGGAAGTTGGACTTATATAACATGGTTGTTGTAAATCAGATGTAAATGTATAAAGCTAAGGGTTTGACATGTACTAAGAAACCACCAAGGGAAAAAATATATCTATGTATATTTTTAATTTCAGTTATTTAAACAAGCTATATTTTCACATTAGACTTGGATGACTGTCATTACTATAATAGCAACTTCTGAAAGATCTTTGGGGTCAGTATTGTAGTTCATACATTAAGCCCATTGGAAACATGGGATACTTTTGTAACATCAGATGCTAAACATTGTTAGGATTTGAAAATTCGCCATGGCATGCAGAATTTGTATCCTTCACAGTCTGTGGTAAATGGAACCTCGGTGAGAAGCAGGACCCCTTTTATTTTTAACACAGGTAAGGATTCGTAAATACAAAAAGAAGTGTCACTTTTTTAATAACCGAACAAATACTTTTTATTATTAATGAAATAAGAAGCATGTAAAAAAACTTTTAGAAATTGTTGTATTTGAAAGTTAGGCTGTGGGAGACTTGTAAGGACTTACCACGGGTTCTTTATTTTAAGTATAAAAAGCGTGCTTTTTAACACCAAATGTTGCCTGAAAAGACTCAGCCACTCTGTGACCTGTCCAGATTCTGCACAAGAATAAGCATAATATACTTCAGACAGAAATGGGTTTGTGTAGCTAAATCTTTAGTACGTGAGTTCTGGGACAGGAATGGGATAGGTCTAAGCCTCTCTTTTGTATGTTAATGTGCTTTCACAGCAAAAGTATGAGAATTAGCACAGACTGAAGTATCTTTGAAGAAAGACATTTATCTCCTTATTGCCTTCGGTGATGGATTGTTCAGAGCTAAAGGAACTCTAGGCCTGAACCAAGTCCCTCGCTGCCCTCTCCAGTTTGTACAATCACCTCTTCAGTAACACAGTCAGGGCAGCCTCACTGCCAAACCAGCACTTCTTTAAGCATCTTTCCATAATATGACAGAAGCGTCTGTCATACATATCGACACTATTATTTTCTAAGTAAGCACTTTAAAAGGTTGCTTGTATAAGAAAAGACAGATTTGTTGAGTTGTATGCTATTTTGCAGTTAATATAACATTACACAGTGAATTGCACTGCATTAAATGTTACATTTCATTCTGATGCATTTTAGGTTAAGCTGGGTAAACAGTGTTAAATGTTTGATCAGTGTTAATAAGCAAGATGCCATGATTACATATGATTGTTCTTTTAAATTACTGAGTAGTCTTTTTTTTTGTATTCTTTTTGATTTCTAACAAATAGTGAGAACAAAATTTGTAATTTAAAATATATTGACTTAGACTCAGAAATTAGTTTTCACATTTTAAATTTACTAATATCTAATCTGTATAGCTCAATGGTTAAAAAAACTGCCTACAAAAAATGATAACTTCTATCTCTTTTTCAAACTGAGTCTAAAGCTCCTTTGTGTTTTAAATTTTTGAAACTTAACTTAAGGTGAGGGGCCATTTGCAGACTTTTGAGAAATAACAAGGAAGTTTACGTAGTAGGTAGTTGTATTTAAATGATCAACAGAGACAAGAGGGAAGGGGGGGCAGGGAAAGGGAAGGGAAGGGGAAAGTCAAGGAACATATAGCAAGGACTCATGGACAAAACCAAAGGGGAAGAGCTGAGGGAGGGAAGGTGGGAGGGGGCAAGGGAAAGAGGTGGGGGGGGAGGCAGAGACAAATGTATTTTAAAAGTAAATAAATTAAAAAAATAAAAAATAAAAAAAAGACTAAAAAAATAAATGATCATAGTTCATCTAATAGTCATTTTCTTTTTATAACATTAACTTTGTTTTTTCTACATCACACAGGATTGGGGACCACTTTATTGTTTGTTCTTTAATCATTATTGAAGATTGTGTTCACGTTGTACTAATTTTCTATCAATATATTTTTAAAAGGTCTTATGCTATCAAATTCTAATTTTGAGCGTGTTTGCTGATAATTGTGTGGTTTGTTGAAGTGATTGAAGGCTATCAATAAAGGGGAAATTTCACACATACCTTTTATGTTAAAAATGCTGTTCTGTGAAATGCTTTTGAAACTGTATTTTTGACAGGGCCTGCTTGCACTTAAAAGTGTATAAAATTGTCAGAGAAGTTTCTCAGTCTAATAGGTATTTCACTCGTCATGGCATGTCAAACCACAATTGTCCTATAGTAGTATTGAACTTACTTGACTCCAGCCGCTATTAAGGTGTCCTGTAACTTGTAAAACATCTAGTTATCACCCTGTCTATGTCATCTTGTTGGTAATAATGATTTATTTTCATTCTCTCTAGGATATAGGCCTGCAGCTAACTGGATTTGATTTATAAGAGGGAAATCCACAGTCAATGGCCACTCTTGCCACATTGCTACTATGGAATACAGAATGGTCAGTAGAATATGGTCTGATAAATAGTGATGACTGAAGACGCTACTTCAATACATGTGAAATCAATGGGAGATACTGGCTGCAAGAAGAGCTTCCTGAGCTTTTCTCGACAAGTTCACCCTTAAGAAATAGGAGGTGTATTCTACCATTATCAGGTCGTCCTCAAGTGGATACAAATACTTTGCCTCACTGTAACCAGACAACTAGACAACTAATGTGGGACCATGGCACTGCCCAGATACACGTGGCCAAATCATGTTTGGAGAGCAGCGATGGCATGCTTGGCACACAGGGGATCGGGTACCTCATGGACTCTCTGTGTGTTGGGATGTTTGCTTCAGGCTGCCCATGTGATCTCCCAAAAATTGGATGATGCAGATCCGCTGGTGACCACCAACTTTGGCAAGATAAGAGGGATTAAGAAAGAACTCAATAATGAAATTTTGGGGCCTGTTATTCAGTTTCTTGGGGTTCCATATGCAGCACCGCCGACAGGGGAACATCGTTTTCAGCCTCCAGAACCGCCGTCTCCCTGGTCAGATGTCAGGAATGCTACTCAATTTGCTCCTGTGTGTCCCCAGAATATCATTGATGGCCGATTGCCTGAAGTCATGCTTCCTGTGTGGTTTACTAATAACTTGGATGTGGTTTCATCATATGTACAAGACCAGAGTGAAGATTGCCTATATTTAAACATATATGTCCCAACTGAGGATGGTGAGTTTACTGCAGGAAAACCAGGAAGATATATTTATATTTTTCTTTTCTATTCTAAGTTTTAACAATATGAATTCATGTGTACTGGTAGCATGCATGGCTTTTCCTGTTGGCATGTAGACATATTTTACATGTGTGCATGACGCTCTTTTTGTTTATGTGTGTTGGTGTATCCGTTCTTATTTTTTCCTGTGCCTACTCATTTTCTTTCCTTCGCAGCACGTATATTTAGGTAGAAATGGGTTCCTAATTTCCATTTCCTACCGAATGACTTCTGAGAAGATGCATTAACATCTCTCCATTGCATGTGCAGGCTCAACAAATTGGGGATCTTTGGCACTCAGTAAAAACAGGAGCATATTAAGTTAGATAGTGGTGTTGCATGTTACGGCGGTCTGTAATGGAGCGCCATGTTATTTTCTAGTCTTCTATTCATTTTTCAGTAAAAAGAATATCCAAGGAATGTGCCAGAAAACCCGGCAAGAAAATATGTAGAAAAGGAGGTATGTATAAAAGTGAAAATAAAAAATGGGAAAAAGCTTTCAGAGGAAGAACAAGATATTCTCCCTAAGGATGATTTGCTGATGTTGGGAAGTGAATGGTTAGGTAATATGTGGAATTTAATAAAGCCTGTCAAGGCATAGAAAGATGGTTAAGGAGAGTTCTAGCTGAGCAGATAACATTTACAGAGCTCATGGATGGTGCCTTGTGTTCTGGTGCTGGTAGCATTCACAGGAGTTGAATCTCTACTTTGAGTTTCTGTGTTGAGGAAAAGATACTCGGCCTATTACATTGCTTGCAAGGGAACCAAACAAAGCTTCCTTCCCAACTCATCAACTTTTGATCTCTGAACCCTTTTCTACAGAGATTTCTATTCCTCTTATAATTGATAAATTCAGTCACAGACTTAGTTTTTTGTTTGTTTATTCTTAGCTCCTTCTGAACACCCTATGAACTTTCTCATTTAAGGTAAATTTTGCATAACTCTTGGACAGTTATTACTATTAAGTAATGGTATTTTTCCCAGGGAGTCTTTTCATTTTCCAGTTACTCTCTCAGAAGAGAATGAGGTTTTGCAGATTTTTATACTAAATATTTACTGTCTTAAAATTACGTGAACATTTTTATATTTATGTTAAACACTTTAAAACATAGAGGAGAGCATGATTCAGAAGCTACAACTAAATCAACCTTCAAATCAGTCTCTAGCCAGATTGAGCAAATGTAGACATTGACAGCTGCAAGCTTGCATCTGAATGTAGCTTGTCCACACTTTGTTTCTGTATAACATCCAGTAAATCACTCAAGAGATTATGATTTTCTATGGCAGTAAATCATCTAAGTGTTATTTTGACCTTATTCATAACTTTGTAGAATTTCCAATCTTCATACAGAAGTCATATTAATATTCTAGTGCTGTACATTCTCTCTGTGCTCTTCTAATCCCCTGGCTGGACCAAGTCAGATTTCATTACAACATCCTTGTGGATGGCGGTGACTAAACTGTTCTGTTTTACCAGGATTGCATTGTATGGAAGAAGCTTCATATAACAAAATTCTTGACTGCAGATCAGAAGTATTTGCATTGAATTGAATTTTGTTTTGCTTTGTTTTTGTTCTTATGTCTTTTGGGCATACTGCTAGAATGGGATTCAACCTTTATTTTATTATTGATACCATGGTTTGGGTTAAAATTGTAGTATACCTAAGAAGGTGGATATGCGGGCAACAAAGAAGGGTGTTTTAAACAACTAAAATAAAGTCTCTTCTTTTTCCTCAAATGAGAATAACTGCAGTAATTTACATCCCTTCAACTAATGTACAATAATACCGCAGTGGTTATTATTATGCAGCTTTTCAAGTATGTGTAATTAGCTAAGTGACTTTCACCTCTTATCATAGAGATGTTGATTCACAAAGTCATAAATAAAGATGTTACTGAAGAATGCATAAATACAGCATAATACATAAAAATATCAACAATCAGAAAATGATAAGGGCACCAAAAGATAAGCTAGTAAGTGAGAAAGTGACCTTTCTTTTCATACAACTTCAGAGAGGAATCGATTCATTAGAGAATCCTTTTTCATTGTTCTTTGGATTGTTGGTTCTATCTGCTTTATGAGAGAGCTGGCAAAGAGATATGTATGTAGGCTGTGCTATTAACTTTGGCAAATTTTGAACTAATTTATAATTAGCCCAAGGACAAAATCTATAGATCCCTAGTTTATTCTGTATTGTTTATAGTTCGTGTCTATCATGATTTTATGGTAAGCATTCTGAAAAGTTATATCCTGTTAATGTTAAATAGGTTCTGCTCAGAGCTGTCTATATCATTCTAACATCTAAATAACAAGGAATTTAAATTTTATTTTTTACATAGTCTTTTTAAAATAAACACTGCTGAAGTTTAGAGCTTGACTTTTAAGCAGAGGAGTAAAATTTTTCTCCAAGCATTAACTTTTTTCCTTCTCTATTGTGAAGAGTTTATATTCTGGTCACTTCAAGAAATTATATTTTCTTGGTTCAAGAAAATATTAGACATTTTATCTTTGTGCATATGCTAATAGATATTGCATATGGACTCTGCAGTTGTTCAACAAAATTCTAGGAGTTTATAAATGGTGGTTCATAAGCTATAGGAATAGTTATGTTGCATTTGATCTAGGCATTAATAAAATTCTGGCTTGTTATTACTTTTGTAACTGTACATGGTCACCTGCAGAGGCAGACGGACCCCTCCCCTGGTCCACGTGCACTCTAATCTGTGCATACTATTCATTCAAAAGTGTTTCTTAATTGCATATTATAAGTCATGCACTATTCAAGGGAGTTAGTAATGAATGAAACAAAGATCCTTGTCATTATAGAACTTACTTTCAACTAAGTTTTCAAAGAACAAAGCGTTTTTTAGCACTTTAGTCTGTATAGAAGGAAGAAAATCTTCTTCCTCCTCCACAAGATGCCTTGCTATAGTTTTTAATTAGAGCTTTAATATTTTCCTGTGCAACTGAAGAAAAACATATTTTTGCCAGTAGGCTGCCTTTCATTTAGAACAGGTCTCAGTTGCACTTTTTAAACTAGCTTTTTATTTTCCCCATGATAGTTTTAGCTATATGTTAATTACTCTCTAGATATTTCTTTAGGGTTTTATCTTCTCAAAACTGAAAGAAAAGAAGAGGCTTAAAATGAGATGACTATCATCACTTGGCCAAGTAGGCTAATAACATGTGAAAGAAACTGGAATTTGTCCAGACATAATTTATTACAAAAAGTTTAGGAGGAAAGTTTATTGCTATCCTTACTATATAGATAAGAAAGTAGGTTTGAGTTCAGTGTTTTGACCCATTTCCTACTGGTAGTAATTGGTCCAGTCAGATTTGTTCCTAGTTCTTGCTTATATTTGATGCTTTTCCATGATGTTAAGTTGCTTATGGTAGGTAATTTCTGTATTAGAGATATATAGATGTATTAGAGAAATATATCTCCACCCTTCCCCCTCCCTTTTTTCTTCATTTGCACATTTAAATAAATATATTGTGAATTCTTTTTATTTTATCAGTTGACTCTATTTAAGACAGATTTAATGCTCACCTCAGTTGAATGGGTCAGCCAGTATTAGCAAATGATTTCCAGAAAACATTTCCTGTACTAATTTTAGTGAATACTTTTAAATAGCATGCATGTTGTTTTACTGTCCAGACCAAGACCCCAACGTAGTCTTTTGGCTGATATCAGGAGAAGCTTTAATTTGCTTATGTTCTATTTTGTTTCTCTGGTTTGCTTTCTTCTGAGAGTTGCCAACAAAAGATACAGTGGTCAAATGTTATGCAGTAAACATGAAAGGGAGGTACAAGAGAGGCAGAAAATCCATAGACAAATTGGTTGGCTCATGCATATCCTGGAGTTGTGTAACTTTGTATTTCTCCAGTACTTTGACTATCATTTGCATAGTTCTTTTGAGATGAAAACAGAATTAATTTTTATTTGCGCAATGGCAAGAATTTTTTTTTTTAAATTTACCACATTTTTTGTGTACAGAAAATAAGAATCTCTAGGTGGCTCTGGTACAATTATTGATTTGTTGAGCATTTTATTACTGATTTCAGAAGTATTTTGTTTTTATATGCTATGTTTAATATTCTTTACCTGAGATAATATTAAATTCATTAAAAAGCCTTTCTAGATTTAGGGTTTATTTGGTTGTTTGCTGAACAATGATTTTTCCATAATTTAATAGATATACAATGACTCCTTTCACTATTAATGTGTTTAGGATTTTAAAAGGAGTTTATATTCCAGAATGTTCTTTCTTCTTGTTTATGTATTTTTAGTTAATTTATTTATTCATTTAATAAATGTTTATTGTCTTTAGACTGTGTCAACTAGATTACTGCTCCAGATCTCAGAAATATATCAGAGAAACAAACAAACAAGCAAATGAAAAACAAAACCAAAAATAAATATTGCCCTTCTGGAGCTTACATCCTAGTGTATGGAGACAAATGTAGACAATAAAAACTAAATTTAAAAGGTGTAGGATGAGAATAAACTGAGTGTAAAGGTTCAAGAGTGCTGGTGTAGAGGGTGAAGGTAAATTTAAATACAATAATCAGAATAGTCTGCATTGGGAAGGAAGTGAAGTGGGTATCTGTGGAAAGCTAGTATGAAGGCATTAAGGTAAGAGTCTCTCTTGGATATTTAGGGAACATTTCATAGTACAGTGTACGTGAAAAATGTAGAGAGAGGTAATGAGATTCAGATGATCTGACTTCATAGTAAAGTGATCATTCAGGCTGATATATTAAAAGTAGACTGAGTGCCTAAAAGAACAGATTTGCCATCAATTAAGAAAGAAAAAAAATAGAAGGTAGAATGGTTTAGTGGAGACACACAGTAGAAAGATGATGTTTAGTTTTGGACATGTTTAAATTCATGTAACTTAGATATCTAACTGTGGACATCAAGGAAGTTCCAAACTTGATGTGGACATCAAGTTTGAAGTTCAGGAGTAAGGTCTAGTCAGAGATACAAATTTGGGAGTCATTGTGATAAGGAAGGTAAAGATTTAAAGTCATGAGCTGAGTAAGAATAAAATAAATTGGGTGAAAATAATGAAGGAAAAAAAAGGCAAAGACTAAGCCATGGGGCATTCCAACATGAAGGGATCTGGGAGAAGAGGAGAAGCAATGGAGACTGAGAAAGTGCTATATTTTGAGATGAGAGGTAAACCAATATTTTTTGTTGTTTCATCCTGGAAGCTAAACAAAGAAAATGCATCAAAATAAAATATCAACTTGGACTAATGAACATTCATGGGGAGATATGGGTGTGACACACTGGAGTGGGTCTGTGATAGAATGGGAGAAGATTTGGAGTCACTGAGCATAAATATAACTATTTTAAGGAATTTTGTAATAAAAAGGAGTAGAAAAAAATGGGAGCACAAGAACACCAGAGCACATGTTTTTGATGATGTAGGCTAAGAGAGAAGAAATAAATA